CTCCCTTCTGAGGCAGGAAAAGAACTGAGCCTAGGGTGACTCCCACTACAGGAAACAGGAAGTAATTGAAATTAGTCCTGCCTCCCTAAGTGATGGATGGGAATCACCCATAAGATGTCCTCCACCTCAGAGGGAGAACTGCTCTTGAGAGAACAGCTCTGAGAGAACTGTGACTGACCCAAGGTCACTCCAGCAGCTGCATGTGGAGGAATGGGGAATCAAACCCGGTTCTCCCAGATTAGAGTCCACACTCTTAACCACTACACCGAACAGGCTCTCACTGTAAGCCCCTTCCAGCTGCCAGAAGATCATTCTCATGGTCACAGGACCAGCGGAGAGGAGTAGCCTCATGGGCAGGGGGTGGGGGTAGTGGAGTGAACAAGGACATGAGAATTTGCTCCTCCTCCTTCCACAAAAAGGTCAATTTCTTCCTTGCACCTCCTTCCTCCAAACCACCAGTCAGCACAGCAGCTCTTCCTTACAGATCCTGCAACCATAAGAATAACATTTCCAGGGGTTGGAAGGGGCTGCAGGAACTGAGAGCAACTTGGGGAAACTTATGCATACAGTCAGCTGCATACCTGCCGCAGAGCTATTCTGCGATGAGACTTTGTAGGTGAGATTTAGATACGTAACAGCAGGCCACATAGTATCCTATAGCAGCACTGGAGAGACCACACAGGTCCTGTTTTTCAGAAGGGTTTTGTTTTTTGCTTAGTATAGCTGCTGTCTCCTTTCCCCTTAGTGGGGAAACCAGCACAGATGGGCTGGGAAGACCAGAACAAACAGGGATATTTTTCCTTCACCACACCGGATGCAAAAGGAGAAAGTGGTGGCAAGGTAGTGAAGAAGGAAAAGGTGTCAGTGGAACACAATGGCCAAGCAAGAGAGCCAGAAAATCCTTGATCAGATCTCACCTCAGCCAGGTGGCCTCAGACAAACTGCTATTTGGTTAGCCTCCACAACCCCTTCATCTGCAGTAGTTAACAACACTGTGATCTGGCCACAGGTGTTCATGCCCTGAAGATATCCAGCCAGAATCAGACAGTGGTTAGTGCATCAGACTAGGACTGGGTTCAAAACCCCGCTCTGCTGGGTGACCTTGGGCCAGTCACACTCTCTTCCCTCCTCCATTTTATCCTCACAGCCGCCCTGTGAGAGAGACATTAGGCTGGGAATGATGTACGCTGCCCTCAGCTCCATGAAGGAAAGTAAGTATAAAACAGTATGGAAAGAAATAAATTACTGCAATATGCTGCCGATGAACACTACTGGGAAACCCCAGCTCATTCAGAATGGAACTACAAGGCTGTTCATGAACAACACTAGGAGCAAACACATCTCGCTAATGCTTAAGAGCTTTGATAATCACCAGTTTGTTTTCTTTCCTGGACAATGCAAAGAGGTCTGGGGTTAGGTTATCTCAGTATGGCTGGAAAATGTATGATGCAGCAACCTTGGAGTTAAGCTGGGGTCTGGGTTTGGCTAGTGCCTGGGTGGGAGAGATCTTCAGGAACCCCCAGTGGAAGCTACATTGAAGCTACACGTGGAGGAAGACAGCAAGACAAACTAGGATACAAAATGTAATGAATTTGGGCCCAGTACTTTTAAATATTTTTATAAATGATCTGGATGAGGGTGTGGAGGGGCTACCCATTAAATTTGCAGATGACACTAAATTGGGAGCAGCAGCAGCAAATACACCGGAAGATAGAGACAGAGTTCAACAAGATCTGAACACGCTGGAAAAGTGGGTGGATGTGAACAAGATGTAATTTAACAAGGGTAAGTGCCAAGTTCTACATCTAGGTAACAAAAATGAGGACCACACATACTGGATAGAGAATACACTTCTGAGAAGCAGTGTATATGAACAAGACCTTGGGGTAAGGGTGGACTGAAAGCTAAATATGAGGAGCCAGTGTGATGCGGCGACAAAAAAGGCTAATGCAATCTTGGGGTGTATCAACAGAGGCATAACATCCAAATCACAAGATGTCATAGTCCCACTGTACACTGCATTGGTCAGGCCACAACTGGACTATTATGTGCAGTTCTGGAGGCCTCACTTCAAAAAGGATGTGGACAGAATGGAGAGCGTGCAAAGAAGAGCGACGAGGATGACCGGAGGCCTGGAGACCAAGCCCTATGAGGAAAGGCTGAGAGACTTGGGAATATTTAGTCTGGAGAAGAGGAGGTTGAGGGGGGACATGATTGCTCTCTTTAAGTATCTGAAGGGCTGTTACTTAGAGGAGGGCAGGGAGCTGTTCCTGTTGGCAGCAGAGGACAGGACTCACAATAATGGTTTTAAATTAAGGGTGGGAAGGTAGCGGCTGGATATTAGGAAAAACTTTTTTACAGTAAGAGTTGTGCAACAGTGGAATCAGCTGCCCAGGGAGGTGGTGAGCTCCTCCCCACTGGCAGTCATTAAGCAGCAGCTGGACAAACACTTGTCAGGGATGCTCTAGGCTGATCCTGCATTGAGCAGGGGGTTGGACTAGATGGCCCCTTCCAACTCTGTGATTCTATAACTGCATGCTGCCACACGGGCCTGCCCAAGTGTTAAGATCCTTGTCTGAGGCCCAGATCTGGGTGCACTTGCCCTCTAGGGACAGGTGACCGGCCACCAGGGCTGAGGGCCTCCTAGGTGATGCAGTCTTCTTCGTGGAACTCAGCCCTAGCCCACATCTGTCTGTCTGGCATCAGGACACTTTGCCATAGTCTGGAAACCGAATGACTGATCTGCTGCCATTACCTTTGGGTTACATTACGTTGTATTTCAGCGATGACTGATTGTTCTGTTGTATTTTAAATCCACGGTAATCTGCCATGAGAACTCTGGTTGGTATTTTGAATAAAAACAAACACAGGCCAACTAGACCAGATTGTTGTAGGGAGTACAGAGAATCTACCTGGAGTAGTTGTGAACCTTCTGAAGTGCTTATATATGTGACCAGTTACTATAAAGGAAAATAGCAGAAAATGGACCAAAGCCTTGCTGGACTCTTCTTGGGTAGGAAAGCCACTGCTTTGTACTGCAAGCATTGTTACTGCCGTCACCCCAAACGTTTGCTGAGACTCTGTAGTCAAGAGTTAAACCAGCAGAAGAGATGATTTGAGACAGGAGGAATAGTCTGTTCAGCCAAGTGTTTCAATTCCCCGTGTCCTCCCTGCCCCCTTCCAAAACAGTACCAAAGCAAGAGACAGCTGCAGCTTATAAGGAATGTGAGGGGCCCAGCCAGGGACTTCGGGGAGGGAAACGAGGCTATATATGGCCATGGAGGCAGAATCAAATTTTTATCAATGAACGCGGGAGCACAGGCGCCCAAGGAGAGATAACGGAGAAGCCAAGCTGCTCAGCAAGGGTATGGGCAAGACTAATAGCACCTGTCATGCTCCTTCCCCCACCCCCCCAACCCAGCAAAGGACACACACACACCCCTCATTTCTGCCAACAAGGCGAGGCACAGCCCCGCTTCCACTTCAGCAGATGTCCAGCACAGTTGACAGCACAGAACGACTCAAGTCTCAGGGAAGAGCAGGGAGGGGAACCACCCCGCAACACAAGCAGACGTATTCGCGGTATGAGTCCTAACATACAAGGCAATCTCCGCCCACAGCTATCTCCTTGCCAAAGCCAGATGAGACTCCTACCCTTCCACTGACACACACACAAACACCCTTCTCACAGAGAATTCAGACTCAAGCACTTTTTGGCATCCAAACTGAAGTTGTAAGGAGGTTTAACTACTGCCTTGCGAGATCTGACTAAGAGCTCCATCTCATCCAACACTTTCTTCCCAGCAGCAGCCAATAGTGTGCCTCCAGCAGCTCAGGCAGAACATAAACAAGACAGCCTCTTCCGGTCATCTGACCCTGACAACTGGTACTCAGAGGAATACTGTAACTGAACATGGAGGCTCAATTTAACCACGGCAACAAATAACCTTTGATCGAACCACTCTTTTTAAAAGCTACTTGAGTGAGTGGCCATCTCTGTATCACGTGACAGTTAAGTTCTGCAAGTTTCAATTATGCATGGTACGTTTAGAAGTACTTTCTCTTGTCCACCTTGAACCAGCTTCCAAGCAATGTACTCCAGTGTCTCCCAAGTCCTAATTTAAAACTCCTCTTCCCAACACTGCTGTCTGTCTCAACCATACACTGAGCCCCATGACCTCCACCTTTCTAGCTGTTCCTGCACATGAAGTAAGTAGCATTTCAGAACATGCTATGGTAGGGGTGCTAGAGGGTACCTAGCAACCCAGGTTTCTCTCCCCTTCAGAACTAGATTCCACCACATTGCTGGTGCACCATGACAACTGGCTCCTGCCCTATACTTTACATGCAATCTGAATAGCACCTGATAGCCACAAGAACAAAAAGTCATAATGCAGATGAAATACCCATCATAACCCTGCCTGTGCTCCTAATTATCACACTGCCTTGTTCCCAGTGCTCCCCTCCTAAAAACCGGTGTATTCAGTGAAAGTCTTCATCCTATGAGAGACAGGTCCCTTCTAAGAGTGCTTCCCCCTCCTCGGCCTGGTGCCCTCCAACCTATAGACCTCATTCTCCATTGACGCCAGAGGAGTTTTCAGCATGAGTGGCGTTGGCAGTATGAGGTCCCTAAAAAGCCTCTTCAAGGTACACCTCTGCCTCTCTAGGTGAGCAGCGCTGGTCTTAAGGGAAATAAATTGTTCTGAGAGCCAGGAGGCTCAAACGTCTGGAATGTCTAGAGGACTAACAAGCAGATTCGTGTATCTATGGTGTACATCATGGCAATGAAGGAAATAATGTGGCTTTCTGTTACAGCGGCACACACAGAGGCCAAGGACATGCAAACCTGGAAAATGAAAGCAAACGCACACTTCTGTTGCATATGACCTACTCCCATTCAAAAGAAGACGATGTCAGCACAACTCTCCTGCCCCCTCCAGAGACCTATAGGAATAATTCTCTCAAATCTCACCCTGAATTTTAAAAAAAGAGAGGTTTACCTTTGTTTCTCCGCTGCTGTCAGATTCGGACACCTGATAAGTGAGGTCTGTCTCCTCAAAGCCCGTAGCGCTCATGCGCTGGTCAGTGGTTGGGTCTGACCGAGGAGGAGAGTCAGGGGAGTTCAAGCATGTCTGGATCAGCGCTTTCCCTGTCTCACTGGTGATCATGGGCTGCAGCTTCCGTGTGGCAAATGTGTAGACATGGCCTGTTTCACTGGCCACCAGCAGCAACACTTGAGTGCCCGTTAGAGTAGAAAGTTCATAGGCCTACAGGAGAGCAAGAGAGAGAGAGGAACAACAGTTAGTCATGACCAGGATCCTGGTTCTTAAGGAGCACATGTACTGAAGCTCCCAGCTCTTAAGAAGGTTCAGATGTTGGTCTGTCTTGCATATCTCTCCACCATAATATTAAAAAGGATTCCAAAGCAACATTCCTTGTGGGCATCCTTCCCCACACTTGCAAATACAAAATACCACATAGCCCTGGGGTACTGGTAACAGTTTGTTTTAAGCCAGCGCCAAAGGTTGTGCATCTTCAGCAGAAGCACAAAAATCTGCACCCCAAGTCTCAAGTTTCTATCCCGTAAGGCAGTGAAATTAGGTTTGAAAGCTGACAGATAGAAGATAAAGGGGGAGAAAGCATTTCTTCACACCAGGTATAACAATCTTCTTGCCCTATCATTCACCAACTTTAACTACCTCTTCACTAAACTATGTGTAGGTTTCAAAATCACACACACTCTCTTCAGCAAAGATATGGCTCTACATTGCAATGGGTTGGGTGCAGCTGGCTTTTCCCACTCAACCTCGCCTAATTCCCCTCCTTGCCACAGCTCTCTTCCCACATGGCTTTTGTCCATGCAGGTTCCATGATCCTCAGCATAGCTGTTTTTGGGTGGTCAAAGAGGACACTCTCCTTCCCTTTTTCTCCAGCAGAAAAGTTGGTCGGATCCAACCCAGTATGTTTCATTCCGCTCTTACTTTTTATTATAATTGATTATCAAAGAAGTGAAGCATTCTGCAAAGCAGAAAGAGTCATTAGGACAACATTGCATTGAAAACACCACACGAGAGAGGGGAAGGGGAATCTTAAAAGTCCACTTTCAGAGAATGGTGGGTTAAAACACTGTAAATTAATTAAAATGAAGACATACCACTTCAAAAGATAGAATGGCCACTGCCCAGTGATTGTAACGATTAATGAGGAGAAGATGGACAAAGAAATATAGAAGAGAGATGGCCCCAGGGTGTTACTAACTTGTCTGGTATTTGTGAGCTGGAAATGTGGCCTCCAAGTTGGAAAGGTTCCAATTTTGCCAGGGAAAACATAAATGCATATTCCTACACCCACAACATGCTAGCCACATCACCAGACATCTGGTGAAAGTCCTGCTTCTCCATTTCAACATGTGCTGCAGCCTCCACCTCACAGCTTTGGTTCGTTTGTCATGATAAGCCCTGATCTTCCAACTTCACGCCTGTTCCTGACTCCTTTTTCTTATCCTCTAGCGTTTCAAAATACCGTCTCACAAGCACCAATTCGTGGGGTGGAAGAAAGGACCCTTTCCACACAGCAAGTACTTCAGACATTCCGAATCAATCATACGTCTAAGAGCAACAGGGTGTCTATTCCATGCAGATCATTAATGCCCCAGTGTGGCAGCTATGGGCGTGAGAGAAGGCTGTGAGGCAACTGCCTTCTGGACTGAAGAATATCCAGCCCCCCACTCTGGCCCTCTCCTACAGGTCCTTGAAACCCCAACCGCCCACAATCAAATAAAAGGGGGACACAAGTTCTGAATAAAGGATTGGTAGTAAGCTATGTGTTCTGAAATGGTCTCTTTTCCGGAAACAGGCTAGACCAAGGCTGTACTTATCTGTGCAGTAAACAGAGACCACTTTTTTTAGATTTTTGACTTGACAGACAAGAGGGAGAAGAACAGTAAAGATTTATTTAATAGAAAAGAAAGTATGAGTGGATAATGGTATGAGTGGATAACTCCAATATATAAAGTAAAACTGGCTCTCAAGTAACGTAAATACATCTCGAGGTGAGAGCTGATTCCCCTTTCTCTGGACAGGTTACCTCAAGAGACTCTTGTGAATCAGAGCAGCAGACTCCTGAAGATGTTATCTTTTAAACTTGACTCAATTCTGTGGGAATCATAGCTCACATAGCATCTATGTATAGGTGATCAGATTTAGTACTAACTTAGTTTTGTTATGACTGTTGATGTATGTTGTAAAAATCTGTATTGATGACTAACTGGTTGGTTTGTAATTTTGGATTTTCAGGACAGTTGTATACTGTTTTTCAGTTATTATATTTCTTGATATGTTATACTTCCTCTCAATAAACATTTTTTTTAAAGGCTGTACTTTTCCCACACCTTTTCACAGAACCCACATAGGAATGATGGGCTCTTAACAGGATGGTTGTTTGTCACACTAAAATAAGCTTTCTTCCATAACCAATCCCCAAACTCGAACTAAAAGCCACATAAAAGCCTGGCTAAGCCAACGCTCCTTTCCAGAGCCATGAAATCCATATCCAAAAGTTTAAAAAGGTTTCTTCACTCTTCTTAAGCTGAGGCTGGCTCACCCCCACTCCCATCCAGTGCTGTTCCACAGGCTCTGATTGGCTGACAGTCATTTGGAATTGCATGAGGCCTAAATCACAAGGATTGGTTCAGAGCCCTGGAGGAGAGGTGGACTTTTAAGTATGATTGCCACACCAAGTTTGCAGATTTTTTTTTTAAGATTGGGGGGTTAACCCTCCCCAGTAGCCAGTGATGTGACCAAAAAACCCACCAAATCCTTAGAAGTACTTCTGGGAAACAGAGGAAGGGAGTTTTGGAAACACGCCTGCCAACTGTACAAGATATGGGGTGACCTTCTGTTTCTCTTCCCAAAACAGGTACTTAAGCCTGGACATGGGGTCTTGGCTCCTAGCTCATGGCTCACAGCCCGTGGCCCTGAATAATCCAGACCAGGCACTGGGATTTGTACTCTACATTTTTCATTTTTGCTGTTGATCTAAATTATATCTGTGTTCCCTTGTGAGCCACTTTGTGCTCAATGGGAGAAAAGCGGGATATAAATTAAATAAATGGGTTTGCCCAGTGATCCATGATGCTGTATGCGAAGATGTTTTTAAAAGCAGATTGGTGGCAGAGGAGATGACCGAGATGGACAGGAAGGATGGGGGAAGCCATGTAATCAGCCAAGTGTAAGGGTCATCGGGAAAAAACTTTCTCAACTTGGCCTCTCAAAACAATTTCTTAGCTCTCTCGCATACGACAAAGCGAGAGAGTTAGGGAGACAGAGAATCTAGGACATAGCTAGACAGGAGGATCTCAATAATTCATGCAAATGGCAAGCCCAGAGGACGGCGGAAAACAGGAGGGCCTGGCGTGATCTTGTCCATGGGGTCGCAAAGAGTCGGACTCGACTGTGTGACTGAACAACAACATAAGGTAGTGCCTATGCTCTATCTTTTTTATCTAGAAAATCATGAGTTAAGGAGAACGTTTACCCTCATGAGGTGGGATGCCCTCCCTTCAGCGGTTACAGAGGGGAGGTTTAATTAAAAAAACCCTTGCTGATCATATATTTAGCTGCTGCAATGATGGAATTGAAACCTTAATGCATGTTATATATGACAGCATGATATTCATGATATTCTCCCACTCTCTACAACTACTCTATCCTCAACTAGTCAAAAGATGCAATTGCTAAAGAACCTCCTAGAAAGTAGGTGCCCCAAGGTTACAGCTAAACTTGCCAAATTTGGCTGGTTAGCTGTAAGGACTAGAAAGCTCCTAGTGAAAGACGAATAGATGTAATTTGTTACAGTACTTAACAGGTATTACCATGCATGCTCTATTTGATATTCATTTTATATATTTCATTTATGCTTGTGGTTTGTATGAATTTAGTTTGAGTTAGTTTGCTGTATTACAGTGTTGGCTTGTTGCTGTGAATAAATTTGTTGTTGTAATCAGCCAAGTGAAGGGGAGAACAGACAATGACTGGGTGAACAAAGGGGTGAAAACAAGGATATGGGCTGAGCCACCCCCCCCAATATAGGGGGTGGTGGCTGAGCAGGCGTGGAGTGGAAGAAACAGACCCACTGGAGGGGAGGAAGTGAGGACCAGGAGAGAGGTACTGGGATTTCCTGAGAGTCCCTCCCTCTTCCATACAGACACATGATATTGTAAACTGTGAGTTTCATGTTAGATTATACATGCAAAAATGGGGAGGGGGACAAGGAAAATGAGATCAGGGTTTTCATGACCCAATAGCCACTAGGTAACACTGCGCACTACAGGGGAGTCTTTCTAATGATAAAGAGATAGTGACCCCCTAACCTTTTGGTGTCAGCATCTTCTGAACACTGGATGTTTTGGCAGTGCAACTTCCCATGGACAATCCTGCTGCACCAAACCAGGGGTCCACCGAATCCAGCCTTCCAACAGTCAGCAAGGCCTCCCCCCAGGAAGGGCACAAAAGCAACAGTCCTCCCATGATCCCTCTCAATATGGAGATCCCATTTACCTATCATATCTAAAAGACCTTTTCTCCACGCATTTGCCCACTCCTTTTTAAACCTCATCTAAGCTTTCTGCCCTAGCACGTAATCTTTTTGCTGGCCAACAACTAGAAAGTGGAGGATTGCTGCTTTTGTGTTTAATGCGCAGAAACTCAGCTTCCCAAAAACTTGTATATGCCACTCATCTCTTTTGTCCATTAGAGACAGATACTTTTTGTACTAGCACAGCATGAAACAACCCCCAGACCTACTTATCTCTTAAACCCTAGGCACTGCTCTCAGCTGACTCACTTATCACTTTACCCTCTTGTTGTCCTGCTCAGAGAGAGAAGCACAACTTTCTTCCCATGTGTCTGCATAAAACACAGCGCAATTCAGGCTTTGGGGGCTGCTAAGCACTCCTTATAGGCTCTGTTGAGGATATGTTCTGACTCAAAAGGAAACGTAAAAAGATACTGTACTGTATTTTAAACCTAAGTTTTGTACTCCAAGGGGCATTCGGAAGTTGACTTCCATGCCCCCAGTGTAGTTTCTCTGTTAAACATTTATCTAGCAGAAGGGCTGGGTGCTGTGCAGAAGTGACACATCCTGTGCTTTAGAAAGCAGCAATCCAAGAAGCGAGCGGGGTGAAATATAAAAGAACACAGAGTTTGATCAAAGCAAGGATGGAGAGACAGGAGGAGAACCTTCTATTCCCAAAACTTCAATTAATCAG